GGTATTAATACCGTACAGGTATTAGAAATATGAAATTATTTTAACTCGACCGATCAATCGGAAACGTGGTTAAAATAAGGTTAAATTGAATTCATAGGTTAATTTCATTTAGCAAAGTCAACTTAGCAATTCAAAAATAATATCCAGCCGCGTTGTTCTGCAAGTTGAAAAAGGACAGAACTGATTTAACCGACCCTTATTTTATTTTCACTATGTCCTGCACGTTTCGCACATGCTCAGAACTTCTTGGCCGAAAACTCGAAATTTTAGTGCCGTCAGTCGCCGGTCAGCCAGTTGCAGCGCTACCTGCGTAACGCGGTAACAAGGACGCTCATATGATTGCCACCTCTCTTATTTTACTTACCCTATGTAAGAAGCGCGCCTCGAGCCATTGGACACTTCCGGGCTTCACTTCCAGGTCGTTGTTTTGTAGGATTTGGCACCTCTCAAGGCAGGAAAGCCCCACAACAAGCTACAATGATGGAAACCACTGCAGATATCGCAGGATTCAGAACAAAGAGTAAAGTAGACCCGGCTTTAATAAACCAAGGAATGGGCAACTGGGAGAAGCACACCAAGGGAATAGGGGCCAAATTGCTACTACAAATGGGCTACGAGCCGGGAAAGGGACTCGGCAAGGACTTGCAGGGGATTGCAGCCCCAGTAGAAGCCCATCTCAGGAAGGGCAGGGGCGCCATCGGAGCCTACGGCCCGGAAAAAGCTGCCAGCGTCCCAAAACTCAAAGTAATCTCTACTAGCTGCTCAGCATCAGCTTGTCCTAACCCGATGATTTGCAGGAACAAATTAAGCCCAAAGAGGGGGACGACAGGGATCTAAAGGGGCCGTCGAAATGGAAACGCACCGATGTGGCAGCCAAAAAATCCCGCTACTACTACAGAAGCGTGGACGATGTAATTGAAAAAGGAAAAAAACCAGGCAGAGCTCAAAACTCGATCTCCAGGTAAGTGTAGAGCTAAGTTTCGAAACATTTTGCTCACTACTTGCTTGGTTGTTCCAGCGAACTTGCCAAGGTTAAAGTCATCGATATGACTGGTCCGCAGCAGAGAGTTCTAAGCGGCTACCATGCTCTGAGCGGCTTGAAAGCCCCCGCAGGAGTCGAGCACTTTGAGGACGTCGTTCACAAAAAATGCCAAAACTTTGCGTTGCCCGAAATACAACACAACCTAAACATGCTGGTTGATATGTGCGAACAAGTAAGTTTATTATGGACTGTTCCCAGTAGTTAGCCGATGAATGGAAATTAAATATTTTAATATGATGGGGAGGGGAAAAACAATGCGATTTATAGCTAGAGAAGAATTGAAAAGTTTTGTGATATCAAAGGGCGGCGCAAAACAACTTTAAGGCTCTTTGGCCTTTGGTGGCAGATAACATGTAAAGCTTCTGTCCCATGTATTCGTTTATACGATGCTGCGAAAGTGTTCGTTACGTTTGTACCGGATTTACACATTTTATCGTTACTATACCAAAGTAAAAAAACCTTGAGTTCAGCTATACCGTTGAACAGTAGGCAGCAATAAAACCGAACAAAGTTTTCGCATTTAAAGTTCATTTTACTGTGTTTGTGTTGGTCAAAAGTCCGGCGTTCATATCTAGGCAAGGAAGGGATCGGGACATAATTTCGTTGTTTCAATGAATCTCTAAGCAGAAAATTACAGTACAGTTGGGGAGAAACAAATATTTTAAGACTACATACCAGTGAAAAAAGGTTGATTAACTGTGTAAGGGCAAGTCCGCCGTTGTGGTAGTTTCGGCTAATATTCAGGGATAGGTGGAATTTAATTAAATAACTTATCGATCGATTAATCTGATTTCCTGCAGTAAATTAAAAAAAGCCCTTTGAGTGATGTCTGGAACCCAAAATCTTCTGTGTTTTTTAACTTTCCCTGTTTTGCCTATTTTGTCCTGAAAGTTCTGGTTCCAATGTTAAAACTTACAATCAATTCAACGTAATATCGAAAATAAAAACAATTAATGTGGAGCTAAAATCATACGATGCCGCATAAAGTTAAACAGTTTTCATCTTGCCACAGCTTCGGACGTTTTGAGGAATCATCAAATCGATAGAAACATTTTGATATCGTCGCATAAACGGACTCATTGGACAGAAGCTGAAATAGTCGCATACTCATATTATCCGAACTATTTATTTTTCAACAGCAAGTTTTTGTTTTGTTTGTTTTTTCTCCGCCTTAAATCCCGTTTTTTTATTTCTGTTTAAATATGATGTTCCGATTCAGAATTTTCCAAATCCCATTTTGTGCAAATCTCGATAGATTTGACTGCCTCTCTGTGAGAAATACTTTGGGCTCTACGCGTAGGCGCGCTCTGGCGGTCTTAGCGTAGTTCATCTTGAACTTGTTTGAAAATATCCATATCGTTTATGGATTCCCATGAGTCCTCTTCTTGACCAGCTGCCCAATTAATAACTTCCTGCTGTGTAAAATCCCCGGCAATTTAGTTGAACAATCCAAAAGCATCTGTTATCTTTTGTCGATGTCTTATGTTTCTCTATGCTTCCACACAGATAATGGAAGGTCTTCCTCATCCCAACCATCACCTTGCTGCGCAATGAGTTACCCCATGACTTCTATATAAGTTCGGGTCGCACATTTTCCCAAGCCTTAGCCAGTTCAGTCATAACATATTTTAGAATATTTTTTTTAGTTATGCACCTTTGGAAGCGAGAATCCGGTTTAAGAGACATTTTCTGTAATGCAACTTTCGCTTGAATCACATTTTGATCTATGAATTGCGCCAATGGCATTAGATTAGGGGGCAAGATCTTTGCAACAATTTGTTGGTCATCTGAAGAAAAGTCTTCTGGATGCCCTGGCGCATTGCCGAAAATTAGAAGCGCCTTTGCCTGTAAATTCAGCATTAATTAATTAAACATTTTTTAATACCTTTGATGACCCCTGCTTTCTTCTATCCTTGTCCATCGGTAACTATTCATTTCCGTAAGAACGAGGCTTTCCAGATCCGCCTAACATTAACAATTTCAATGTATATGCTTTCTACAATGTTTCAATATCCCAGAAAATCTATTTATTTCAAAATGTCAAATAGAAGAAAGAGAAATGTGAACAATCCCTCAAACTTCTGTTTCGTTTTGAGAAGCTAAACTCAGTCCAAGCTACTGGATCCGTGCATTATATATCATTCTTACCAGCTTGCTGCAAGCTGCCGCCCCATCCTCTATTTTCTTCCCATTAATCCTCAACAAGTTTTGAGGATTCCTGTCTTCATGTAATAAATTGAATATGCCGACACTTCTACCAAAGAACTCACGCGATTTCGAAGACACGGAACTACCAAACTAACATGATGATGATCATTTACTTGTTCGCCCTTTGGATTGCATTCCTTTAAATTGCAGTTCGATTTCAGTTTTTTTAAATTATAGGCCAAGCTGTAAATAAGGCATTAAAATTCGAATCCCATCTTCACTGGTTCCGAGCCTTAACTCAAACTTTTTCTGTGCTTGGCAGGACATAATACGGACCGACAGAGAGACCCGACTTGTCGAAGACAAGCTGGTGGCGCTAAATCAAGAGCAAGTGATCATCAAAAACGAAATCACTGAAGAAGACAAACTGGTAAACAACCTGAAACATGTTCTGGACGTTGTCGATAAACTGCTCGATCCGTTCCAAGACTATTCCCTGGGCCAAATAGGGGAGATATTTAGAGGCCTCTTGGTAATATACAATTATATGTCAAAAAAAACGACCGTTGCCTTAGACTATAAGCCGTCCGTAGAAAAATGATTTATGTGTTTTCCGAATTTATGTTCGCAGAAAGACTATACAGAGGAATATCGCCGTTACGAATTGGGCGAATTGGCCCCCGGCTTAGTCGGTCCGCTTCTCACATCTGCATTAGCCAATTGGAATCCGTTGCAACAGCCCAGTCAGTACACGGACTTATTCGACCAATGGAAGGCGATTCTGGAAGAGCCCCAACAGCGTGGGACTCTAGAAGGTAATAAAGTTGGAATACAGCCATACGATAGTCTCATATGGCACACTTGGGTGCCAGTTATGAGGGCTTGCATTAGGTAAGTTACGTAATTTGTCTGGACTTTTGGATTATGTTGTTTATTTCTCTAGGTAGAACTTGTAGTTGCACTTTATTCTAGGGCCTGGATCCGGAACTGTGCAGTCCCCGATATAGTGAACCTTAATTATATATAGCAACAGCTTTCCTGTAGCCGGAGTACGCTCTTAATGCAAAAGAATATGATCTGATAATTAAAAAAAAATACGTCCTAATCCTGTGATTAGGAGCGCACAGTTTAAATGTTGCTTAAAGGCTCTTTAAAGCAGAAACTATTCTTTCTCATCTATAGTTGAGCATGTAATTGATTTTTCCACAGACGGCATCCAGTTACGGCGTCTGTTTTATGTTTTATTCCCGCGTATTCTCTTGCAGTTTTCAACCCCCTTGAATTGCTTTTACCATTAGATTTTTCCTCCTGAGTTCACCAGGTGGTTACACAGAGTCTATTTTATAGCTCGTGGAACCCGCGCAATTGCGACCCGCTGATTAATCTGATTGAGGCCTGGAAGCCCACGCTTCCGATGTGGATACTCAACAATGCCTACGACCAGATGATTATGCCCCGAATCTTGGAAGCAGTAAACGGCTGGAATCCGCTAACAGACACCATTCCAATTCACTTGTGGATTCATCCTTGGATTCCACTGCTTGGTAAGTGTAAATATTTTTTGTTAGCTTAGTTAAAGTTCTGCTTCATTGATAATCAATATACGCTCAACTTTCTGTTACTTGAATGCGATCCCGACCTGTACGATTTCAATACGACACCACGATTCCTGTTAAATACACGCTACTAAAAAGTCTGAAAAAAAATGAAGTCGTCTCTAAGATGTCAGTTGTCCTATATATTCCCGATTTTTTCAAAATTGGCATTGTTGAAATATTTTGAAAACGTTGATTATTTTGGTATGTGTCGAAATTAAAAAAAAAATTGAAATCTCACTACTTACTGGCAACGTGCGACTAACGTTGAAATTCGTTAAACCAATTTTTGATAGTCGTAGTCCATCCAAAGAATAGGGTCACCGTACACCGCATCCAAGCGCTCTTTGATTTCGCTTCGCGATTTTCCTTCCGGAAACAATAATCGAATCACCGACCGATATTGCTCTTTTTCATTTTTCTTAAATCGGCAGACACTCCCGCTTCCACACATTGTCAATATAAAACTACGATTCGGCTGCAAATTTGAAAGTAGCCGTCTACGAAAATGTACTACACGATGGTAAATTTATCTTGTAATAGTGGCGCCATTGGGCGGTGCTTACCGGACGGCCCTCATATATCGAGTCGAACCGACAGATATTTTCAAACCCTTCTTGAATCGTTCACAGGTACATTGTTTTTCGGCTCAAGGCAGATTATCGAGGGTTTCTTCTCAATTATTTTGAAGCAGATTAAGGTATTGTTCCGTTCTGGAACGTCGATTCTTCAATTTAGTCGAATTCTGATTGTAACAGAAGCCCTAACTGGCAGTCCAGATATGAAATCGGAATCTATGTTGGTGTCGTGACTCTTTTGTAACACTGAATATTTTGTTTCCGCGAAAAATGTACATTTCTTTTGTTGAATACACCATTTTTGAAAAAAAATCACTAGACCATATTGTTTTGTAAGGAAAATGTTCGTTGTCTTAACATTTTCTGTTTGGATCACCTTTGCTTTTAAAGCTTTGCTAAATCAACCTTTGCTGTTTAAAATTAAATGTATTAAACTGCAGGGGTCTCAGTAATTGCCAATAATACTTTGTTTAGTTTCTCCTCACCGCTGTCTATTTTTCGAGCAAACGCATTTTTAAGCACTAACTAAGTCTGGTTCTCTTTTCCGGATACTTGTTCAAATACAGTCGCTCCGCAACACAGAAGTTTCTCTAGCTGAAAATAGAACATACAACATATCACTGTTTCACAACTTTTCTGTATTGGAAATTTTTTTTAGTTTTTAAGTTTTTTAATATGTTTACTAATTTAGTCTGGTACATTTTCTCTCTAAACGTAAAAACGTAAATCGGCGGCCCGGCCTTGGTCGCGCCAATGCGAATGGCTCCATGTAAATCAGTCTACCTTCAAAACGAGCTTCTCAGCAGCGCCACTGAAAAGCGCTGCCGAGTGGCCCGTGTGAAATGACTCTAAGTTGATCAATTCCCTCACCATCACGCATAAAGCAGCAACTTAACACTTGCAACCACATGACCCGACTGCGATTTGCGACTAAATGGGTGTTTGGTTGCGATACCCAAACCGCGGTTCTCACATAAAAAATTAGTTTTCTTGCTCAAAAAATAAACCACAATCCATTTCACCAACATGTGTCGAATCTATTTCTGCGATTAATGTACTAAATGGGTGTTGTTTCAGACGAGAGGCTGCACGAAAAAGTGTACCCGATAATCCAAGAGAAGTTGGGCGCCGCCTTGAGCGGCTGGCATCCCTCCGACCGATCTGCTAAGCTAATGCTGCAGCCCTGGCAGCGCGCGTTGTCTCCAGGCTCGTTTTTAGCCTTCTTGCTCAAGCATATCGTTCCCAAGTTGCAGCACTGCATGCAAAGCATGCTCATCAATCCCCATCAGCAGCTTCTAGGTACGTTTCGAATGAGTTTCCAGGAGTTAGTTAGCTAATTGTTTGTGTAGACCCCTGGCAGTGGGTGATGGATTGGAAGGACATGCTGTCCATCTCCAACATGACGCTCATTCTGGATAAATTCTTCTTCCCCCGATGGCTGCAAACGTTGGCCATGTGGCTCAATCATTCCCCCAACTACACACAAGTAACCGAGTGGTATTCCGGATGGAAACGGATGCTGTCAGTCGATTTGCTGGCGCAGCCCACCATCAAAGGTGAGACTTGCTCACCGGCATCAATTTTATTATATTAAACTATAACCCACCTTTAGACAGTTTCCACAAGGCGCTGGAAATGATGAGCAGAGCGACGACCATAATCCAGCAGCCAGGAGCCAAAGAGTCAATTTCCTACTTGTCCAGCAGCGGGGTCAATTCCACGCCAGCCGCACCTGCACCTCCAAAAATCGACGTACGTTCCTCACAGTCTGGATAGGACAAAAGTTTAATGCATATGTTCAAATTCCAGAGCTTCGCCGAGGCTGTAAGGACAGCGGCGAAAATCCCGCAAGGATTCAAGGATCTAGTGACCAAACGGTGCGAAGAGCGCGGCATTCTGTTTGTACCCATTCCGAACAAGTACCACGAAGCCAAGCAGGTTTATCGGATTGGAACCAACGGGGTCCAATGCTACATAGACAGAAATGTGATTTTCTACAGCCAAAATGGCTCGACGTGGATACCCACCTCCCTGAATCGGCTATTGGATGTGTCGTGTTGAGGAGAGTTTTTTTTTGGGTCATCGGGGACAAGTGGAAGGTTCAACCAAACCAATCAATTTGACCTGTATATTGTTCACTGATTGTTGAATGTAAAATTAATAGTAAATAAACAACCTACTACAGGCAGGACATGCAATTTTGGGATTTGCGGATGAGGAAAATGCACGTTTCAAACTACTTTTAAGGCACTATTACAGAGAAACGAATCTATTCCAAGAAAATGGGGCTCTTGGGTGGTCCAGTGTTTCTCCTAAGGATATTTATTGGATCCGTCAAGGATATTGCTAGGAAAGTTGCTAAGGCGACACTCGGAGTATTAACATCTTCAGGAACTCTAAACTATTTTCCTGGGTTTCAATCCATTCTTTCGAGTTCACAATTATTTATTTTTAAAGCGTTTCGGTGTTTTTCCACCATTCTCAGTTAGTCTGAAACACTTGTCAAAACATTTTGTCCCATTAACGTGGCGCTGCGAAACGTCAAATTACTCGTTGTCGAGTGACAGTTGAGACTTGTCAGACTTGTTTATTTATTGGAGTTGATGATATTTATAACATAAAACAATACTTACACACTTTTCCATCTGTTTATTTCTTCAAAAGCTTGCAAAAGTTGATTGGAGCAAAACAAATCACAATCAGATGGGAACACCAATGTCAACAAAACGAGTGTCAAATTACTACTTAACTTGTACTTATAATTTTAGCCACCAGATGGCGTCTGGTGTGTCGCGACAGACTCTTCAAATGACGGAACTGCTGTCTGCAGTAGCGGATGTGTTGGCAAAAATGAAATAAAACGAGTATGCATGCAGACAGATTATGCGTAGAAACAAACCAGGACTATCAAAAACTCTACTAAGAAAGTTTCAATTAGAAGACCCAAAGCCTTTTTGCAATTTTCTCAACTCAGATTCGAATTTTCGGTTTTTCCAGAGGAAGGTATGTGCATAATCATACCAGTGTAGCTTTGGCTTATAAATTTCATTAGCATCTGAGCCAGTCATCATCGATTTTTTTACTTTCCGAAATTCATTATTATACGTGCTCCGAATAGATCTAATTTTAGCTTCTAACGTTTTCAAAGTTAAAAGTATTTAGAAGTGCTTCTTCTGCTTGGTGGCGTTTTTGTCTATCCTTATAATCGGCAATTGATTTAACCCATAGACACATATGGGTATGATTGGTAATATTCCAGAAATGTAATCAAATCAATAGAGAACATGATTTAATACCAATCCAGCTGAAAATATTGCGCCGAAGATTGATAACCTGTTAGAAATATCAAGATGTCACCGAGACATCGGCAATGTCAATTTTGATATGTGACACGAACGTCACGACACTATGACATAGAGAGACATTCGGGTGATCAGACTAGGCCTGGGTAAGACAGTGAATTTTTAGTTGGCGCAGTGCTACGCAAATGACATGGTGCGCGAACCCAACGTACCGGCGCAGTAACGCAGTTTCGTTACTGGAAAAATGTTTGCCTTCTTACTTGTTTTCAGATTTATTTTAAGGGCCATTTATTAATAATATTTACAAATTTTAGAATTTTCCAGTTTCAGCCAAGTTACTCTTTCTTCTAAATGCTCAATTTTCTAAAGTTTCACTTAAAAACGCTGACAACCTTAAGGTATTTTCCGCAAAAAAATTATTAAATAAATTTCGAATCCTTCGTCGCTTTGTAAAAAGTTTAGTAAAAGTAAAAAGTTGAAATTCGGTTTTCAGCTTCGAATTTGCAACAAAAATTAAATAATTTTCTATTAAAAAACGAACAGAATAAACTAAAGTTTATAACAGATTATTTGAAAATCTCGCCACCTTCATACTTCTGAAGACTGTAGTTTGTTAAAAAAATGTGGTTTTATAGTTTTGACTGATTTTTTTTTCGAGAAAAAAAATAAAACTTTTACGTCGTTTACGCGAAAAATTACAAGATAGATTTTGTAAAAAGTTTACAAAAAGTTTTTTCAGCGTCGAATTCGGGACAAAAACGAAAATAATTTCCTCCCGTTTTTTCCCGATAACCATTAAGGTTTTCTCCAAAACCGATCACAAAACTAAAAGGATTTAATCAAAAACGCAAAAAGAAACATTATGTTCTAATGATTTTTTTCTTTTCTGACAATAATGGGGTCTTTTCAGCCAAAAATTACAAAATTAATTTTGCTAGAAAATTTGCCTCATTCATCGGTTTGCAGGGAGCTTTAGAAAACCCCATTTTAGCTTCGAATTTGGCACAAAAATCAAATAATTTTATTCAGTTTTTTATTGAAAGTAATTAGGATTATCTTGAAAGAGACCAGAGAGCAAAAGTTGAGAAAAAATTATTTGTAATTTTCAATATTTCTAAACAGCACACTCTCTAAACAGAAAAACCGCGTTTTTCCCAACGTTTGACTGTAAAATATTGACAAACAAACAAACAAAATTAAGAGATCGATTTTACAAGAAAACTTATAACTCATGAACCGATGAGTTATAACTCGTTAACTCAGAGACCGGCAACAACTCAATAGCACAACGCAACACAATGTTACCCAAGCCCAGTTCAGACAATGACATTGTTGTGGAATTAACGTCACACATTAATGTCACCGTGTGAGCTTGGGAAAAGAACAGAATTCCACCTTCTAGAACCTGAAATGATTCAAAACTGACTAATGATAAAGACTTAAAAGTAAGTAAGTAAAGAATTTAAGATTCTAGAAGGTGGAATTCTGGTGTTTTCCCAAACTTTGTACTCCTGATTCCTTACTTTTAGTTCTAATAATGTTAGAGTGTTTAGTATGACAGACTGTGCCAATAAACAAAGTGGCCGTTTTTTATTTTAAAATGTTAAAGTAGTTCATGTGTTCATAAAACAAAATGTTTCAGACTAACTGAGGATGGTGAAAAAACACCGAAACGTTTAAAAACACAAACACGTGTGAGTTCGAAATAAACGACTGAAACCCTGGAAAATAGTTTAGATTAATATTGGAAATACAGTCAAGAAAACTTACATGATCTTAGGAAACTAGTGTAAACTGATACAACACGTGCGATATCACAGTAGAGGAGTTACAGCAGCGAACTAAGAGTGACCATTTTGCGGTTTAAAGAGAATTCGTTAAATCACTAACCATCCATTTTGCGCACTATTCACATGTGACTAGGAACCGGAATGAGCGTAACTTCGATGTACCCGCGAAATGGCCGTGTAAACTAAAAAAAACCCTAAAAGGGTAAATTGCTACTGTACAAACAACCTCAATCTCAAGTTTGCATGGCTGCAACACCGCTAAATCACCTACAGCTATTAAGTCGGTTCGATCAAATCTGTCACTATCACCCACTGAGCCGTCCAAGGCTTCAATATACACATTACTACTACACTTCTAAGTTAGGAATAATACCGTTTATTTTTGGCGTTTCAGTCCGAGTGTGCCATACGTAGACTTTGGTGCATTGATCCGCCAAAGGTTCCAATTCTTCTTTGGTGGTGAAATAGGATAGGAATTCGCTCTCTTGCATCCCCTTTGCCATCTGGTAGGAGAAGTTGGCATCGGTTTTCTCCAGAATCAGGTCCAAGCTGATTGCAAAACCGGCCATATCGATGGCGAATGGTCGGTTTGGTAGCCAGCCACTTTTGTATCCGGTTACTTTGCCTGAAAGTCGAGTAAACACTGTCACGTAAAAATCCTGTCGGAGAAAACATCGCGTTCAATTTAATAGCTATTTGTGGAGTGCGAAGAGACGGAATCTATAATGGCCCCGAAGGACGAACTAGCCTGATTGCCTTTGTCCTGATGAGAATTATTGTTTAACATAATGGTTTTTCAACCATTATTTATACAGAGTGTCCCGTAAGCACATAATTAAAAGGGTACTGCGAGCAGGAACCCGGACCGGAATTGATATGGACCCAAAACAGAGAACGGAACAGTTTTTTTTTTCTGGATTTGAACCGAAACTGAACCCGTATTTTATATTAACACACAGCTAAGGGCTGAACCGAAACCGAAATATTTTTTTCGGTAGAGCTTGTATGTTTGAAAGAAATTAATATTTGAGTTTCTGAGAATTCAACGATGGTTAGGGAAATATCCAAATTTATAATTAGATATAGAGTAAATACAATAATTTTGATTGTTTGAAACTTTCAACTGCTTGTATTTTTGTTTATTTTAAGTTTGTGAGTTTTTAACTATGTTTCTAGCGCAATTCCTCAATAAGAAGTTTTTTGTTATTAGTAGTTGTGGGTTATAACAATTTTTATGGCTACTTCCTTAGCAACAATTATCTTTAGGAAAATGGAGGAAAGAGAAGTTATGCTGTTAAATAATAAAGTGATAATTGCAGGGAAATTTTTGAACTCGGTTTAAGCTACTTTTAGACGACAATCAAGTAGAAAGAGCAAAACCACATTTAAAGTCGTTATGGAGTAGACTGATGATCGCAAAAGAGTGGAATTCTTCCAATTCTGAATCTGACACTGACCAACAGGCGATGGAAACGAAATCGTCTGGTTCTTCATTAAGCGATCAAATCGAAGCCTTTTTAAGACATACAGATTGAGAGCAAAAATATTTTTAAAAGGAATCAATTAGTACAAATTTCCTTTGCATGGTTCATTTATAGCCCTTAACAGAATTGAAATTATTTCCTATAAATATTCCTATAAAGTGGAACAAAAAACAACAAAAGCTTAATTCCGACTTAGACATTTTTGCTCAAGTATTAATAAGCGTGCCAGCAACCCAATTTTAGTCGCCTACGAAGTCAAATATTAATAAGAAAATTTTAGAGGAAAAATATTATTTGTGCGGCCCAACCAACTTTTCAATCCTAAAGAACAACCAGCTTACAGTTTAAACACTGCTTTTAAAATCCTTTTTTAAGTTGAATTATTTTAGTTTTTCGATCACCAACAGCAGAAAATTTTAAATTGGAATTTCCAACAAAACTAACTCCTCAAGATTGTGAAGAGTGTAAAGACACAAACCAGAATGGCAAATATTTAAACGGAATAAATAAAAATGCGATAAAGTCAGAAAACTCAGTAAAAAATATTTTTCAAAAATACCACGATTAAACCATTTTTCTTGATCCACGCTGGAAACTAGCCGTGAAAAGCATAAGGTTTTAAATCAAAACTTTGAGAATATTGTCAAAACAGTCAGCTTACAGTCAGTGAGAAAGTCAAGCTGTCAGCATGCGTGGCGAAAGTTATTACTTTCCACACGGGATGAAGAAAATTTGTAATGGGTAAAGTAATGCTTGTGCCATCGAAAACAAACAGTGGCAAAACTATGTACTTTTCAACGGAGGACCAAAAAACTGTACATTACGATACAAGAGACAAAAGTCGAAGCTCCGCCACTGCTTGAAATTGGCGCACGAGGCGAAGCCCAGGGTGTCCTGCACGCACTGGCGGGCCTTCGACTTTCGTGTGCAATCATATACTATTTTTCTTGATTCTCGGTGGAAACTAGCCGGGAGAAGTATAAGGTATTGAAAAAACAGCTGACAGTCAGTGACAAAGTCAAGCTGCCAGCGTGCGTGGCGAAAGTTATTACTTTCCACACGGGATGAAGACAATTTGTAATGGGTAAAAGTGATGCTTTCGCTATCGAAAACAGTGGCGAAAATACGTACTTTCCACCAGGAGATCGAGAAAATTTAGTTTGTATGGTAGTTCTTATTTCAATGTTGTTCCATTTAATATTACCTTAATTTCAGTCCTTATTTACTTACTAATTATAATTGTATCAACCGTACAACCAGTCGGAGTACAGTATGAAGCAGTGGATCGTTTGCACATCTTTAATCTTCTACAATACAACAATCAAAGAGAAAGATAATGAGATTCCTAGACAGAGTAACCTCTGTCTTTGTTCTCGCTCGTTGTATTACATAGATTTAGAACCCGAACTGAACCGAATTGAAAAATATTTTCTAAACCGTAATCTAAATTAAAAATGTTGCCTTTAACCGAAACCGGAATGAAACAGTTAATTGGATTCGGTCGGGGTTCTCGAGTGCGACATTCTTAAGCTCAAAAGCAGACAATCTGACCTAACTTTTATTAGACAAAGATCTGACTCTTCATCTATTGATGATCAGTTTAAAAAAAATACATATGTTTTTTGAACTATCGAGAGAATGAAAAAGATACCGAGTTCATCCGCTTAGCGATGAATTCGTGAGTGGTGTCTTGGTGCAAAAACTATCAGAACTTTTTATGCGATAACTGGAATCAACTCATTTTTTTAGAGTTGATGCACTAATCTTTTCTTGACATTTTTAAACTCTTTGTAAAGTCTTGCTATTTGTAACAACGTTCTTTTAAAATAAATTAATTGTCAAGCGCTCAATAATTATTAACTGACGTTCCTTGGAAGCGTTTTCGTCCGACTTGTGTTCATCTTAGATCCGGCGAAAAAACTTTCATTCATTCATTAAAATTCATTTGAGCGCTCTGTCGATATTACGAAGGACTTAGTTTCAATTTTGTTAATGCAAAAATTCAATTAATGTCTAAAATTATCAGTAGGCAAGAAACCCGAAATAGTTTTTGCGCAAAAGCTATGAATTCTACAAGATTTTACAAAAAGCACAAGAATGTCGAGAAAGGATTAGTGCATTAACTAAAAAAACAGTTGATTCCAGCTACCAAATAACAAATACTAACCGTTTTTGTACCAACACAATCAAGAACTCGATTCCTTTATATAACTGAGTCGTACATTTCGTCGTAATAACAAATTCACAGCGAGTTTCATTGAAATACATACATACACAAATAATCATCTTTTTTTAAATCAATTTAAAAAATAATAAAAACTAAAAATGTATAAATTAAATTTGATGAATTTTCAAAACTAAAATATAAGACATACTTTCTGCGTAATGTGGCAGGGTAATAGTACATACGAAATGTAAATTCTCAGTTTTGATCCAAATTGAAAAAAATGCAAATATCTCGAAACCTTAGATATTTTAATTTTCTTGTTTATATTTTTTCATTTTCTGACTTTTGGAATATGGACCTTTCACCAGACGAAGTTTTGTCTAGGGTTTACGGGACACCCTGTATAGAGGACAGTATTTCTTCAAACAACAAGATTGCTCAAATGATTGCTAGTTCGGTTTCTTCACACACAAATGTAGAAGAAAATTACTCCTTATCAATATGAGGAAATTAGGGGAGAACGTTCGGTTTCAAACATATGCGGGACACAGACCGGGGTCATTAATAGGAACTCAAACGATTCTGTCGTCGGTTCAGCGATATGTTCAGCAACCTTTGAGAACTGTAATTCTTATTTTGGAAATAAAGTATAAAATTCTAATTTCTGGCCCCCTAGATCCCCCCGATACGAGACTTTGTTCGGCTAGTAGCACTACAAACAAAATAATTCAGTTTTACAATTTTTTTGTTAAGTTTTATCGATTAGACAAAATAAGTTAAAATAGGTATTCATTCACCCTAGGAACTTGAGGGAGCATATTGTACAGTCTCGCTAGAGACACCCTGTGAAACAAAAAAAAGTGGAAATAAAGATTATTGATTATGCTGCCTTCGCCATTTCGACCAGGGGAAATAATACCGCCAGTCCGCATTTAATAGCCAAAACAACTGAAGTGATTATGAAATAATTACATATTACAACGATTGTTACCAAATGATAGTTAGCTTGACTGGCTGTTACGACTGGGTACAAAATTACAAGTTTCTAGTGCAATAGAATACCTTATTAATACCCTACCGTGAACTGTTAAACCATAAGCAATAAAAAACAACAGCAACTCCAATAGGAAAGTAGGCAGTCATCACAAACGTACTCTTAATTTGATTCATTTGCTCGCGAGTGTCCACAAGGTGAAAGACAATCAGCTATAAAACCTCAATGGCACGCCTAACGATAAACAAATATTCTGTGATTTACTACTCGCTTGGCGACCTTCCCCGTGAAGGCAAATGTGTGCTCATCAAACATTCATTCCACGTCCGTGTTGCGTCACTTTTACTTAAACTCATTGCTCACCTGTTGCTTTATCAACAATCGGGAACTCTGCATTCAGCCCCCCAACCAGCCCGACTGGCCAGGCGCCCACTCTCTTCACTTTGGCTATCTGCAAAATGCATTATTCGTAAATGTCTTTCAGCCCTTTCACCGACCATACAAACCTCGTCAAAAAGCTTCACGCTATAAGTATTGTCATCATCCATAAAGTACACCACTCCCTTGTCTTTGCCTGCTACCAGATTATCCCGCAGCCACCGCAGCCCGGCGTTCCGTTGCTCAACCCCTCTGTGCCTTCGGGCTTTCGGATTCTACCAAAAACAAAAGGAAAATGCGGACAACCCTCCAGACATCGGAATGCCAAACTTACTTTGTCTTTGACTTTTTCATAAGGCGCCGTCTGAGCCACCAAGTGAGTGACAATCAGCCTCGAGTCCTCAATCAGGTTCCTCACCAAATCGCTCTTTTCTGCAGCGTCTTCTACGACAATCCAGTGAATATTGGGGACCAGCTGTAGAGTCTGAGAGATCCGAGTCAACTCGGCCTTTTGCACGTAGCGCCAATACGTGGGGGTTATGCAGTAGACGATGGGGAAGTTTTTGTGCTTGTCTGCTTCCAGCTCATGCAACAGAATCACCTGCTGCTCGGTTAGGTGCAGCTTGTCCCGGTGCAGCTCTAGGGCTTCTTTGAACACTTGCAGCTGGTCAATGCCTGGACAATATCAATTCTCCCCAATTTAACCAAACTGTACAAGAACAGGCGTCTTACCAGACTCGATAACTGAGAGCTTCCACAGCACCAGCAGACCTAGAAATACCAGCACATAAAACGTGAGCCTCGTCTTTTTCATTGTGTTATTCAAGCTCGGAGGTCGATCCATAGGCGCAAACTTTAGCAAATCGTGTAAAGTGAAATTGTTTACTAACAGTTTTGGGGTTATAACATCGTGACAGTGGGCCTTGCAACGTTAACAAGTGCTGCATGGACACAGCACCAGCTAATACACAAGTGGCAACAGCGGCTTATCAATGCGAGCAAGTGTTTTCTACTTAATAACGCCTTTGAGAATTTTGCAAAAATCAGTTCAAATCATTTATACCTGAGCCAAGCCCCCATGTAAATATTAGGGCGATCATGAGGACGATTTTTGCTCTTTTGCGACACAGTTGGGCTAAAAATGTTACGAGAAAAATTCTCTTTGTATAAACACATTGTTTTAGACCCGAAAACACGAAGTTTCGACTAGCAACTATCGCCATAACTATTTAATCTTTTTCTGATCTCATCGCCCAACTGATAAGATAAGCCTGAGCCATGTTGCCATTCTATGCAAGTACTTCAACGTACGGGCATAAATTATTGACAATTGATAGTGCAGCACGTGAATTTTCTGAAATTTCCAACGACTGGAAGTGTTTTTGTAAAAAAAACCCAATTTTTGACTAAACTATAAAAAAATGAGCGTGCCCCTGCCCCCAGGTACTGGACTGGAGAACATCGATGGTGAACAAATCAAAACGGTTGGCCCAGCCATTAATGTCCAGCTCGGTTGGTTTCCAACCAAACTTTCTTGTTTCAGTTCAAAGACTTCCTCATCTCGTACAATAAGTTGACCGAAATGTGCTTTCTGGACTGTGTCTCTGATTTTACCAGCAGAAACATCAAGCAGGCAGAGGTATGAGTGGCGCTCGACACCGGCCAACTGGTGGGTTTTAGAGTCTTCACACGGGCCACTCTGCAGCGCTTCTCAGTGGCGCTGCTGATAAGCGCACGTTAACATTGTAACAGCCACTCTGCAGCGCTTCTCGGTGGCACTGCTGAGAATCTCACGTTAGCCTGAAGCAGACTGAAGTGGCTCGTTTGAACGCCAGCATTTCAACCAATGTATCGCTATCAGTGGCGCTTCTCGGCGGTAGTCAGCCATTGAACGCCACAGAAGCGCTGCTAAATTCGTGGTCTGGCCTTTGTCGCGCCCGTGTGAATAGCTTCATGTAAATCAATGCACCTTCAAAACGCGCTTCTCAGCAGCGCCACTGAAAAGCGCTGCAGAGTGGCCCGTGTGAAATAGCTCTTAATCAGTGTCTTTCCAGGACAAGTGCTCGCTTAACTGTCTGGAAAAGTTCCTCAAAGTCAACCAGAGAATATCGCAACGCTTCCAAGAGTTCCAGCTGCTGGCAAACGAGAATGCTCTGGCCACTAAGCAGCCCGCCTCCTGAGTGAGGCCCGAAAGGTGCTAGTTTTGTTGAATAGTTTATTTATTATAGTTAAGGGAGTATCGAAGACATTTGTAGCATTATTCGGTTGAGATTCCTCATCTGGTTGCGGTTTGTCAGCTAGGTGCCACAGCAGTAAAAACGCCGGGTGTTGGGCTCCCCATTGGGCGGCCCGTGCCCATTTTCGGTTGCTAACTTTATAACATCGTCCGTTATTAAGGGAAATTGCAAACTGTGGTGGTTTCTTAGGGCGTTGTTTGTTAACTTCAGCATAGCTTCATCTGCAAACCAAACCCATTATTCACGTGCATTAACTAAGCTTTTTAAGTCGCAGTTTACCAATTTGAATGTTATTCTTGGCCGAAGTGATGAACCAGGCCATTATATTGTTCTCCAGGCAGAAATCGTTGATGTCTGCCGGGATGGTTTCAGTCGTAATGTCTCCTTTGTTGGCTAGTAAAATCGTGGGTATCGCTAGCCCGCCTGGTAAGGACACTTTCTTCCTCAAATCGATTAGCCACTGTTCGAAAATGAAATCCAAAATACATTATTCAACTTAAAATGTCGAGTTTCATCATCGTTCACCTTTTTGATCGATTTAAAAGTTTCCGGGCGAGTTAGGTCAAAAACTAAAGCTGCGCCCACCCTAAAAATATCAATCCCCCGGATGGTTAAGAATGAAAAAGCTACCAACTCTTACTTACGAGTGCCGATAAAAAATCCCGGTTAAAGCCCCGAATCGCTCGTGGCCGGCTATGTCCCATAAATGCAAGTTGATTCTCGTCTCCTCGTCCCATTCGAGGGTTTTAACCGCGAAGTCGGCGCCTATGGTGACTTTATACGAAGAAGAAAACTCACCTGAAATGCATAATTAATTGGAAAACTCGAGCCTAAAGCCAGTTTTCCTGGCAACGTATCGATTTTTCTGAGAAACCCGCGGAATGTAAGGCACATCGATTTCCTATTGCATTCCTGCATAATCATGCTACTGGGAATCGCTTGCCGGCCATCTGATAAGAAGGTTTTTTATCTTTTAATTGTTTAACTTTGCATCAGTCGCAGGAATATGAATGTTTACGTACCATCAGTGTATCGGTTGATGATGGATGTTTTTCCTAAAAACCACTTGGTGTTGCTGGTGGGAAGATACTAAGGGTGAGCGCTTACCAACTCCAAAGTCCCCAATTACCACCAGTTTGAAGTTGAGCTCCTTCTTGTGCAGATTGGCCACTCGCAACCGATCACTCAAGTTGATCAGCCGCTCTCTACTCAAGCCCCCATTTCGCGCTTTGGACACACTTTCTGATGCGGTCATTGTTCCTCAACTACACGACACTGTCTATGGGGTTTTTGTTCTCAGCGCAATCATTTTTCGAAGGTAACCGAGAGCGCACGTTGCTGTGCCGAAATCGGGACGGTTCCAGATAATGCACTGAAACGGTTGCGTAGGAAATGACGAAATACTAATTAAACGCACCTGACTTTATCTCGCGAGCTTAATTCGCGCCAAACAATGTGCGACTGGCTACCTTGAAATCAGTGTACGCAAGATAGACAAACGATACGCGAATTATTACAAGGACAGTTTATCGATTGATTGTAAATATATAGAGTTCAGTTTTTCGGGGTTTTTCGCCCGAATAGTATAATGAGTGCGTAGGTTAATGACTATAAAAAATAGCGAAGTTAATAAACATCGTTATTACTTTTGGCTCATCTCTTCGACAACGGCCGCAAAGCTCTTCAACAGTCGTTTTTCACTCAAGCGCAGCTTGACGATGAGTTTCATGTTTTCAGATAGATTGGGCTTGTTGAGTATTTCCAAGTCTTCCTCGATGGTGGTTTTGAAATGCGCCAGCTCCACTGTTAGGCGGATTTTCAAATAATCCCAGCACCGTTTTGTCAATTGGGCATCAAGCGGGCAGTCTGGCTTTGCCAGGGCCGCAGATTTCTCTTTGGGCATCCACTGATCGATCTGGTCTGCAACCAAGGAAAATGTACATTTTCTCTGCTGTTTCTGGGGGGGTTGAGTAAAGTGAAAATACCTGAGGGCAAGCACATGACTCTTGTGAAGGCGAGTAAATCGTCGCTGATGGTTTTGGTGTCTTTCGTGATCTGTATCAGGAATGAGGGTGGCATTCCCATGCTTTTGAGCAATTCCACTCGTTTCGGCACCGCAGTGCACATACTAACCAGCCGATAATCGTGCTCGTTGTCTTCGTAGAAAAACCTGCAAATTCGCCAAATAATCCACCGGCAATTCATTCGCCAATCAAACTTGCCCATTGTGGCCAAGAATCTCGCTGTTGCTGCGTTTCCCATAAAATATGAACAATTGTTCGCCCTCTTGGAAATCCTTGGAAGCTAAACATTCCAGTTGGTCGGTCTCCGGGTTGTAATCGGTTATAATCTAAAGACTTGTCTTTAGAGATGGCATTGATTAGTTGTAAAAACTCACTCCTCCATTGGCGTGGTTGCACATATCGAACAGAGGAATTAGGAAGGTCTGGTTCGGCGCCAGGGGAACCAGGTTCTGTCTGGTCATCACAGTTGATACAGCCCAACTGAAACAAGAAAACGATTCTTTAGAAGCGGAAGATAATACAGTAAAACCTCTTTTATTCAAACGTCTGGAAGCTGCCGCTATAGACCGAACAACAATTCGTTTATGCGAACAGTGCGGGCCGACACAAATTCCGCACTTCCAAAATGTCGGAAGAAATTTTACTGTAAAAAGGATCGATAAATTTAAAAACATCTTCTAGTTCCTATCCTTTACCGAATGTTGGCAATCATTCTAGCAGTGATAATTTTATTTGTTGCTGCTCTGAATAGTCTCGTGGTGGATGTTTCAACCAGGTTCTCAAGTTCTTCAGCCAGGATATTCGTCTTCTTCCAACGCTTCTGTTCACCTGCACTTTACCCTGTTTTTGGTTTCATTTCTTATGATGTGCCCCAGATACTCCAATTTTCTACGTTTTACTGTGTATATTATTTATTTTTCTTTATTTAGCTTTTGGAGTATTCGGGTGTTTCGCTATCCGAAAAAATCCTGAAAACTCCCAGAAATTTCCTATTAAAGTGGGGTTTTCCTCAATTTCATATCTTTTGAATGATATTCTGGGCAGGTTTGAAAAATTTTTGGTTTTTCCTTGGCGAATTTTTGAACAATTCGTGTTGTCCAACGACCAATCGCTTCGACTTAGTATCTGGAAAGATCCTGAACTCCCAGAAATTTCCTGTTTTTGGTTTCGTTTCTCATGATCTGCCCCATATATTCCAATTTTCTGTTTTACTGTGTATATCATTTCTTTCTCTTTATTTAGTTTTTGGAGTATTCGGGTGTTTGATATCTTGTCCACCCATGACATTTTGAGGATGATGTCCACAACTCGAACGCTTCCACTCGAACGCCTCTTTGTTGTTGCATCCGTTAAGGTCCAAGACTCTACTCCGTACAAGATGGAGAGTTTCAGTTCTAAATTCAAATTATGTGTCTTGAATAATTTGGACATTTGATTGAAAGCTGTTCTTGCTTTTTCAATTAATGTTTTTATTTCTTGGAAATGGTCCCATTGTTCATTTAGTACTGTGCCGAGATAAGTGTATGTTGACACTCAATCCACCGCTTTCTCATTGATGGTAAGCTTTACTTCTGCAATTCTTTCGCTACTAATTACCATGACTTTCGTTTTACTGGTGTTGACTTCTAGACCATATTTCTTACTTACTGCAACTACCCTGTCCAATAAAAGCTGCAGTGTCTGCAAATATGACGGTGTCATCAACATATCTGGAATTGTTTATTCGCTCGCCATGCAGTAGTACTCCTGCTTATTCTAGAGGTTCTTGGAAAATTGCCTCTGAGTACATGTTGAATATGAGAGGTGACAATTTACATCCCTGGCGTAAGTGAAACAAGCATACACCTCAAAATTCTTATCCGTGCAACGCTGGAAGAGCACCTATACACTGAAAAGGGCATCTCGTGTTCCAAGTCAATTCATAAAACCAAACTGTGTTGGGGATATCTATTCTCCACAGCGTTGGTACAGTCTCCGATGCATGATTTAAAAAAATAATTTTAATAAGTGACTCATGAGGCTTATTGTTCTATAGTTACTGCACTTTTTGACCCCCCGCTTCTTTGGGAGAACCATAAACTCCGATCTCAGCCATTCTTTGGGTATTTTTGTAAATTTCGTTGAATATGATAGTTAGTTTTCTTTTAAATCCTCATCAAAAAGTATGACAATCTCTGACTGCACCTCATGTAATCCTTCCACGTTGATTTTATTTGTTCGATGTCTGCAATTGTTTCGCCTTGTCCATTTGACATTTTACCTGTTGATTTCTTCTTGAATTTTCCTGTTATGTTCTTGATCTTCTGATATACACCAAATGTGTCGTGCTTTGACTGTGCTATTACAATCTCTTTGCACTTGTCTTTGAGTGGTTCTCCTTTTGCTTCTCTGATGTCTCACCTATCTGGTTGTTGAGGGATCTATATCTGTTCGTGTCATTATTTATTTTGGTCTTCCTTCCCTCTTCCGTCACTTTCAGTATCTCTTCAGTCATACAGGGTTTCCGCTTGTCTATATTTGTTATTAGTATTTCTTTATTTAATGTTTTTGTGACTGTGACTACTTTCTCTTATTTTTCTTCGACCTCTGCGCTATTTCTTACATCCCGTAAGGCGTTACTTATTAGGTTCATGGCCTGAGTTCTTACCTCTGGTTCTTTGATCTTTTTTCTATCATAAGTGGTTGTGCTTTGTTTTGCTTTCAGTTTCTTCCATTGTACCCTAAATTGAAAACATCACAAGCGAAAAATTCTCCAGTGACGAGGAAACTGTTGAGGAGCCATTCAAAGAACTGCTTCGAAACGAAGTCTTGGAAATACAGCTGTTGCGGCAAATCTATATGCAGACAAAACTAGCTAATGGAAATTGCTCCCTAAAAGACACTTACTAATGACCTGATCAATCTGAAGCATCAGCTCAAAATGAGCAAGGAGAATCACATGTATGCCTTGTTCAAACGCCTCTGGGACTCGTAAAATGAAATTGTTAGTGTTACAGCAGATTGGAAAGCCTCGTTCTTTCGGAAATGAACAGTCATCGATAGCTTACCACGAAACGAAGAAAGCATGGGTCACCAAAGATATTTAAAAAATGCTTTTACACAGTCCTTAAGTTCGAAAACAAATGCGAGAGCTGAATTTATATGCAAAGGCGCTTCTAATTTTCGGCAATGCGCCAGGGCACCCAGAAGGCTTGTCTTCAGATGGCAAACAAACTGTTGCCATATTTTCGCCATTCGTGCAACCCATGGATCAAAATGTGGTTCAAGTGAATAAGTTGCATTACAGAAGATGCCTCTCAAAAGGCATTGTCGCTTCCGAAGGTGGGGACACATCTACAGAATTAAAAAATCTAAAATATGTTTTGATTGAACTGGCTAAGGCTTGTAAAAATGTGCGACCCGAACTTATAGAAGTCATGGAATAAACTCATTGAGCAACAAGTTGATGGTTGAGGTGTTTAAGACCTTCAATGACCTGCGTAGAAGCATAGAGAAACATTAGAAGGCATCGACAAAAAACTTACGAGTAAGTTACAGTAACAGTTTAAACATTATTCATTGCAAGTAAGGGCATTGGCTTCCTTGGCTCTATTCGGCCTTTAGCTGACCACAACTTTCCTATTATAAACCCGAAATATCGTATACATGCAATTTGGGGAGTTTTGTCACTCGCAAGCTTCTAGAGCGTGAAAAACGCACATAAAAACAGTAAAATTTTTCGGACTTTTTGACTGTTGTGAAAAGCATTTTTTTTAACGTTTCGGCGAGTGGCTGGCATCTTAAGCGGTGGTTCACTCAGTGCACTGACGCCCTAAACTTTATTTAGAGAATTGCAAAACCGCGGTTTCAAAAAAAGCCGTAGGCCAGTTTGAATTTTTTTTTAAACCTTTAATGAGACTTTCAGATTGAAATTTGCTCAATATGTGGAGCAGATCTTGCTCTATCTAACCCCGCTTAGGTCCTGTTTTTGTCTCTACTGGTTTTTGAGAAATTAATTTTTAATCCGAGAGTCGAAAGAAAGTTTGCGTAAAATCAGTAAGTAAGTTTAGAAATTTGCTTAAGAACTTACGAGACGAGTTTCTAGATAAAACTCCCTTGGTATATAAACCGAACCTTTTTCAAACTAATACCATTAACCGCATGTCTTTGGCTCTTTTGCTGTTGGCGCAATTAATTTTTACTTCGAGTCTTGCACAGCCGCGCTCTACGTCAAAGCAAGAAGTGAGATTCATAAAATTGTAAAAAAATCCTGGAATCGAGTTTCTAATTGAAATCCGCTGGGTATATAAAACGTAATGTGCTCTATCGAATGTCATTAAGCGTACATCTTTGGCTTTTTTGGTAGTCCCGCAATTAATTTGTATTCAAAGTCGTGCAAAACCGCGCTTTACCTAAAAGCAGTTAGATTAGTCAAAAAATTACCTAGAAAATTTTTAAATTGAAATTCGCTCAGCTGATAAAGCGTACGTTTTTCTAGCTAATGCCATCAAATGCACGTTATTATCGGTTTTGGTGTTCGCACAATAATTTTTGTTTCGACCAGTGAAAATTCGGGCTCTACGTAGGAGCGGTGAGTGAGATTTAAAAAATTTGCAAAAAATCCTAAAGGCTAGTTTCTAAATGAAACTCACTGACTATATAGACCGTAATTTACTCTATCAAATGGCGCTGAGCATACGGCTTTGGTTCTTTGGTGTTAGCGCAATAAATTTTGATTCAAAGTCGTGCAAAACCGCGCATCACCTAAAATCACGGAGTCAGATTTAAACATTTTCCAAAAATTCCTCAATACAAATTTCAAATTTAAATTCGATCCTTAGATGAACCACACCTTTTTCGATCTAAGGCCATCAAACACAAGTTTTTATCTCTTTTGGTAGTGGCGCAATTATTTTTTTCTCGTGTTAAAAATGTAAAGAGGAATAATGGGAATACGCAAAGGATATGGATATTTTTGAACATGTTCAAGATGAACTAAAATATGCTCACGTTCTGACGCAACGGATGAAGATGTAGAGCACCAACGTCCTCACAGAGAGACAATCAAATGTTTCGATGTATGCACAAAATAGACATTGGAAAATTCTGGATTTTTTTGAATTTTTTGAATCGAAACACCCGAATTTATCTTCAGCAGAGAAGAAAAACCGTTTTTTCAGACAGAGCAAAGTGACACTAAACCAACTATAATCACAATTTTTTTTAGATTGACTTAGATTTACACATGTGTATTACGTATGTATAGAAATTAAGCCATTTTATGTACACAGTTATTCTTTTAATGTGTGCATATCTTTTACCTAAGAAATTGTCAAATTAGTTAACAAAATTTGCAGTAAAAAAAAACATTTTAATTACAGCAACATTCAAAAGGTCTTTAATCCGAATTTGCTCTAAATAATTAGATCGACTTGAACAATGCACGAAAAATATGGTTGGAGGTACCGAAACGTGATAAAAAAAAACACTGAAAGGATACGTGAGCACCGCTGACCGAGCTGGGCGATGCGATGCTGAAAGTGGCCAAGCGGTGCGAGCTTAAAAAATTAAGTCTTTGAGTGGTTTATTCAGAGTTCCATTGCCTCGCAAAGATGTTTGGAACACACAGTTTCGAACGTTTGTCGGCCAACGCTCAAAAGTGCAAAACTCAGCTCCGACCCGTAGAAATAGAAACCCCCCAAATCGAATCAGCATAATCTAATAACATCAATATTCCGGTGAATAAACAAGTTGCGAAAGTGATGTGTTGAAGGAATTTTAAATGAAAAGTAAAAGTCCCATATGTGTTTCAATCGGGCGCGAATTATTGGCCATTTTAGCGCAAAACGCCCGCGCTTTTTAGCCTATAATTAGCTGAATACAGCTAGTTAGTTGATATTAACCCACATTTCTTCAGCTTTGAAAAGATTCAATTAATGTACCGAAAGAACAAGAAGAAAAGGAAAGTGCCACCGTGCGACCTTTGTCGTCAAACACGATTGTTTCGAATGCTGCTCCCAAAACCGCAAAGATGCAGAAGAAAGCAGCGGCAAGAAAAAGTGAAACTCTTTTAGCATCTTCAAATCACTCGATTTTGTAAACAGCGCGCCCCAGATTTGATCATTATCGGCACGAGATCTTCGGAAGTAATTTATTGCATTGATTAAATAGCTACTATTTTTTGATCCTTTGATGGAAACACTTGCCAATGTACTAATGGGCCGTTTTTCGTACAAAACCCGTGAGTTTTCTGCCGTGCAGCGCACTTTCTCTTTGCGGTTGATTAACATAAAGAAACTGATCGGTTTTAAGAGAACCACCTGGCGTGCACGGCCCATGTTAATCTCATTCAAATTAGTATGCGAAGGAAAAACCGCCGTCTTGAAAAAGCCCCGTTTGCATTCCAATAGCATATAAAATGCATGCTACACCTTCATCAGCAGCAAAGGAATTAAGTCGTCGCCCCTTTTCAAATTACCTGCCGCTTTTTGATGCTTTTAAAATCTTGTTGATGGAGAAAGCGCGCGCTTGCATTTACTGCTAGTTAAGCCATAAAGCCCAAATCGGATGGCGGCTTCAAACAGGACATGGATTTGGATGGAATCAATCAATCAAGAATCGAACCAGCCAATCCCTACCTAGCCAGAATTCAGTACCATCAATGTTGATCCCACCACCGGATAGAAAGCACATGGTTCGAATCGGCGATTTATGCGATTTGCCTGCAGTCGCCTGCCGCCCATCTTCAACGCCACTCGCGGTCAATACTAGCTGAAATTCCACACGGAAGCCGAAAATGATTCATTTTTGAGTGTTTTCCTCCTCCTCGCAGTGTGAACCACCATGCTTGCAAAGCGATTTCTTCTCGCGGGCTTTATTCTGGGTGTTTACTGCCTAACTGCCCTTGCCGACGAGGAAGACGAACTTGATGATAGAGAACCAAAGGAATACATGCCAGAGGTAAGACAGTAACTTAGGTATGTTTACAGCATGCAGAAAACTCGTGCGGAATATCAATTAGCGCTGCCCGATAAAAACAGCCGTTGCTAGTGTTAATCAAGCGCCTCCAGCGACGTCCCAGACACAACAGTCGAAAAAAAACGAACAAAAGCAAATGTAAGCAACTAGGCGAGCAATAAACTACTTTTCACTTGCTAGAAGAAAAACCGCCGCCTTATTAAGCTCGGGTTAGATCGGGCTAACAAAAAAGGGATTTGAGGGCAAACTCATTAGCCGGCTGAGAGTTTCCAATTGTCTAAATTTCTAGCGCAATTATACAAGACCATAAAAGAGAAAACTGTACAAAACATCACAAAAACCAGTTTTCAATGGAAAGGAAATGCCAACAAAAGCAATAAATCGCTAAAACCAATGGGTAATCATTAGCAGTAAAAAGCGGAAAAGTTGCGCAACATTTGAACTGGTTCACCAACGGTGGAATCAGAGTGATTTGTTCATTGAATGAAACTCTTCCTGTCCAGGTTTGGCACGCGATCGAGACGATTCCTGAAGGATCCGCGGGATGGATCCCCCGCGATCCCTTGGACAGTCTGGGAAAAGCACAGACGAAACGACGGCGCCTTCGGAAGCGAAAACGACGCCCTCCCATAGTAACTTATTTGGATCAGAGCGCGGAAAGCGTCGCTCCAGTACTGGCCCAAGGTGGGCTGCGATTTTCGTTTAACATTTCATAGCCTATAAAAATACTCCATTTTTAGAGCCGTCCAAGCCGCAGGACGCATGGAAAGAAATGCAAGAGGAAAGCGGCCGCCCATATGTGCGAAGAAAGGTAATCCAACAAGCCGGCACTGGGTTTTTTTAAATCCCATTTATACCCCATTAAGGTCACGCCAGCTTACAGCCCAATCGCAGCTGAACCCGAAGGAGGTCAGAACCGGACGAAGTCTCAGGGTCCCAACATCAAGGACATTCTGAAGCAAAGCGGCGGGCTGAGCCTGAGCGAAATTTTGCAGCAGAAAAACGTCACATTGGCCGAGCTGCTGATGGGCAAGGAAGAAGCCATCCAGGCGCTAACTGAGCGCACCAAGTACAAGCGGATTCCGCCGTCCATCGGGCTGCACAAGGAGGGCATCAGTCGTAGATACGAAACAATCAGTGAATCCCAGGATATTATCAGCAGCCGGGAGCGAGAGGAGGCCCAAAAGAAGAGGCTGGTCTTGTTGCAAAGCCCAAATTTTCCTGAAGTTACTCGGCAGGAGGCAGCCGCTGAACCAACGGCGGAAGCCACCACCTCCACCACATCTCAGCCTTCAACCACGAGAACTCCCGATGGAAACAGGCTGAAAACCGGACTACCCCTAACCAGCGCCCAACTGATGAAAATGGTGACGAAAACCCGGGCTGGAGTCAGACCCTTCCCAACCCCACCGCCTGAAGAAGAGGAGAACTACCCCAAAGTTAACGGCACACTGTTCAAGCCGCTGAAGATCTCCGTAAAGGAGATTGTGAAACATACAGAAAACCAACCGGGGGAGAAGGTACGAGCATAAAAAGCTGAATATTCGGTTAACTAACAGGATTTTATTGCTTCCAGCAACAGGATGGGCCGCTTCGGATGAAAATCGACCTGAAAACAGTAGACTTGGCTCCCAAGCTGGAACCGTCTTCAGCCAGAGAGGAAATCCTGCAAATCCTCATGGATCCAGTGGGCAGAGCCGGATTGGCGCGCATTCTGGAAGCTCGCAACATGTCGGTGCAGGAGCTAATTGAGCAACGAGAGCGCGGCTCCAGCCAGCTGCATTTGGCGGACATTTTCCACAACAACACGCGCGAACCAGAGCCCAGCGACGAGGCCTTGGAGGGCAAGATCAACTCTGAAGTGTTTTCAAGCTTTCCAGTATTTGCGCGGCAGCCGAAAAGTTTGTCGAGTCCAACCACTGAACAGCCTGTTCCGGCCATTAGCTTCAAAATCCCAGCTAATTCCTCAACGAATGCCACTCATCAGTGGCAACGACTGTACCCGGATCTGTTCAGTCGTCCAAATCAGGAACAACCGCCGAAAGATTTGGTGCCCCAAAGAATCGAAGAAGAACTAGATATTTTAACAGAGGAAGACGCTCAAAGGCTGGACGATGTGGATCAGACGCTCTACTCATCAATATCCACACAGCAACTGGATATTGACGAAAATACCTGGCAGATGTTGAACATTTCGACGGGAGTCCGGTCGGCAATAGTGGCAAGTTTGGTAATAGTGCTACTTTCTATAGTGGTTTTTGTGTCCATCCTAGTGGTGTTCAGGTGGAGGCAAAGTAGGAAGAAATGTGTCGACTATGGGGGCAGCCTCAAGCCAGCCCTAATCAGTATAAAACGCCACAACATAAAAACGTTCGTCGCCGAGACGCTCGGCAAAAAAAATGTAAACTACTACAAGAGACACTTGCAGAGCATGAGCGATGATAGTTGGGAGACTGAGAGCAAACGGCGAATTTGATTTGTATGCTCCGTAGTTGTAAGCGTTGAATTTCAATAAAAATTTTTATAAATGACCTACCAGTATTCCTTGAAGCTGAACTTTCCGTGCATCAGTTCACCGATTTCGTCATCCAAGGTAGCGAACACCTTGTAGAAGTAGGCGTATTGGCGGATAATGCTCCTGATCTGTGTATAGCTGGGTTCTAACGCACAGCTGCCAGCCAGCTCTTCTAGCTCGAGCTGGGTGAAGTAGAGAATGGTGTTGTAAGTCTTGGGCAGCGTGTTAATGTAGCTCTTCCAGAAGGAGTTGGGTGAGAACTTTTCGACCAGCAAATGGATGGCTAGCAGGACGTTGGGCATGTTTTTCAATATGTCCAGCTGGAAAATCAGTCGAGCTTAGACCAAGCGTGGTACAAATGGGCTCAATTAGCTACCTTGTCAAACAAGTTCGACAAAATGCTCCTCTTTGCACTGTCGGTGGACATGAATAACTTGCTCGGCACTGACATGATTAATGAGTTTTTTGCGGCGGTTTGGTCCAATTTGATTCCCAAGCCGTAGCCCTCAAAGGCGGCGATGGAGCAGCCATTCATTTTTGCACCATTCTCTTTAAGCCATGCGAGGAAGGGGCCAATTGAATTCTGGCGCTGGATACCCCGACCATTATTTGGGACTTGGTTTTTCAACTTCTAAAACTCCGTTGATCAAGCACAACACAGCTCACATATAGAAGCAGCGAGTTATCACTTACCTTGCTAAGTTTCTTCGCTAATTTATCTTCCAGCTGCCGGGTCTCTTGAATGCAAGCACCCAGATGTCGGTGCAAAGTCACAACATCCTCCGGGGATCGAATCTCTGTTAGAGTCGAGAGTCGCAGAATGTTATCGGCATTGGCTAGCAATTGCTCCTGCTCCTTAAATCGGTGCTTCCAGGAGCCTGTTCGAGCTGTCGGTGCCATTTCGACAGGAACGAGAATCGAGACGATTGCTCAATCAGTTCCAACGGGGCTTCCCTTTATGGAGTGATCAAGTTTCGTTTTATAAATAAATCAACTTTTTGATATGGACACCAGCAGCCGCTTTCAAAATTGCTCACCTTTAATGTGGTATGGGCCGCAAGAGTTGTGGAAATCGTCCGCGTGTAATATCAGAAAATGTACTATTCTTGAACCAAAAAAACCTGAAAATTTGATATTTTTCCCGTCAAAATTGCGGGTTGGGTATTGAGGTCTTCTTTTGATTTGCGTGTGCGGAGCAGCTTTACACAATTTGTCCATGTTGTAGTAGGCAATCGGTTATACAATAACTTGTGTAGGGGCAGGCTTTTGAGATTAGCTGCGCTCTTCAGTTACCTACGCATTAATTTTACACAACTTTTTTCCATCAACTAAATTGAAAAAACCTAACAATGTGATTTATCACAGAAATCTTAATAAAGTGCTCTATTCGGTAAAACAATAATCAAGTATGGTTGCCATTTAATAAAACTCAACATTGTGTTATATGTCAAAAATTGCAGTTATTTTTGAGAAATGTCTTATGTCATTTCGTTTGGAATTCAATGTCCTACAAGTTTTTATTTAATGCTTTCCTGTCAAATTAACATCAACGGAACTAGGAGTAATTTAAAAATTTTCCATCAAAAGTTTTTCCCAAATATATCTTGACAGCTGTCAAATTTTTGAAAAATAAAATTGGTTTCGAGTAAAGCATTCAAAACTACAATTCTTTGTCCTTTTAACCTTTTTGTAACTGCTATAATTTCGAAGATCCCGGTACTGGTCATCGAAAGACACTCACCCTGTATATGTTTTTAAAAGTTTAGGTATTGGGACCCAAAAACTAATTTTCAGATTGGCGTTCAGTTTTCAGCAATAAAAAAAAACTGGTCTATTTTTATTAATCTCAGAACGTACTCAGAAAGATTGTAAAATAAACTGCAGATGGGTGAATGTCCACGAATTAAATAATTTTTTTCAACTCATATTATGAACTTCTGATCAATTAGTAAATTATGCCAGGCTTTTAAAACACTTTTTATAAAACAATAAACAACTTTAAAATTTTTAATTTTTATTATAATAACAGTATCTTCGAACAGTGGTTTTGTAATGTACATTAATTATTTATTGATGTGGCGAAATGCTGACTTTCAGATGCAGAACTTTTAGCTAATTTCTCGGCCGTTATCCTGTTCTTTTTGGTAGAAAAAAAATTCCTTTGTGGGTCCGAGCTAATATTTTTATTATGTGGGATCCTTTCACTCTGATATCAATTGATTTCACTATTCCTGGCGAAATTGTTATAAATATTTTACAGCAGCTAAAGTTGGCCCAAATGACACTATTTTTCTCTGAAAAATATCAGGCTCAGTTAAAGTATTGTTTTTTTATAAAATCTTCAAAACGCTGCTTTTAGTTTTTTCCTTTTCATCGCTAATTTCACGTTCTTCCTCTTAACGTGACTATTTTTTATGTCTTAAGGCTGTTCCTGAATAAAGGCTTCCTGTAATAATATCATTAATGACAATCATTATTCTGTTCAAATTCCACAACTGAGTACGCAAAAAAAAAATTCTGCCGAAAAGAAAAAAGAACTAAAGCTCAGAAATAAATGTAAAATTATTTTGCAGTTGTTTATTGTTTTATCAAAAGTGTGTTCAAAGGCCTGGTATAAAATGTACTGATTGTACATACAAGTTCATCATATATGAGCTGAAAAAAATTGTTTAAGCCGTGGACATACACCCATCTGAAATTTATTTTACAATTCTTCTGAGTACGTTCTGAGATTTTTTTTTTGTTTGCCGGCGGCTGGAGGAATAAAAATCTTCGCGAAGACACCCAGTGTTCCGAACCCTGGGTAGTGTTGGATTCTTATCAACTAAAAAACCCCCTTTTTGGTACTACGAGTTTTCGGGAGTTATCCTTTAAAACTTGTAGTCCTCTCTAAGAATTTGTCAGCTCCGGCATCCGTATGCCATAGCATCGCATTCTCTCCATGCTAGCTGCTTGCTAGCATGGGCATCTTATTAATTTACACCTTACTTCTATGTGCATGCTAATTGCTACCGCAGATTACAGAGTACCCCTGTGATCTGTGATTACTACTATCTCTACATAACCTCACTTACAGCTTACGCCGTTTGCTACCTGTTGGCCTATTGGGCTAGTTGGTGTCTGGGCCTTTTTTTCCTGGGTCCCAGATCTTCAGGTGTGTAATTTACAAGATTTCGTAGCTCTTCGTTGGAGTGCCTTCCAGCTTTAACGAAGTCTTCAGCCGCTTTCCTGGTGAGAAACTCTCTTAGTGGCTCCCACTCCAGGTCCCTGTAGATTTGGGAGTTTCTAACAAACCACGTTCTGAGAGTAAAAATAGCAAAGGAATAGCACATTTTTTTAGCGATAGTCCAATGGGAAGACTTTTCAATTATTTTTCTTCTATAGTAAAGTTATTGAGAACTAATAACATGTGAGAGCGCTTTTCGGCTTTCCAATTTTTCTATGTGGCAGTTGCTATTCGCGTGTTCAACTCATAGATAAAGACGAGTACCGGTTCAACTACCGATGGGGGCGCTGCAAAACGTCAAATTACTAGTTGCCCAATGACAGTTATGACAATTGTGACTTGTCTATCTATTGGAGTTGGCAAACAAACTAAAAGTGAGTTGTAATTATAATAAAAATGAATGTGAATGAATTGAATAAAAAAAACAAAAATAGAAAGCTTGCAAAAGTTGATTAGAACAAAACAAAACAGATCATAATCAGATCTAAACACCAGTGAGACACCAATGTCGGCAAGGTAAGTATCAAATTATTAGTTGTAGTTATAATTTTAGCCACCAGATACCGTTTGCACTTTTAAACTCGCGAATTCTTTCTAGAGCAACAAAATCAAAAGAAAACGAACCATTAGCTCGACTTTAAACCATTTATTTTAAGTTTCGGGTATATATTGATAATGAAAATATAGTTAATTGTATCAAATGTTTAGCACAAAAGACAAATTGGAAAGGCTGAGAATAAGCAGTTTCAAGCTATCAGCTAATCATGATGTCAATTGTATTAGTTCACAACTATTCTAAAAAAATCATTAAACATGTTCATTTTTATAACAACAGTGTAATGCATAGGTAATTGAAGAGCTCCAGCTAATCGTAAACGTCTGCAGTACAGAACACCTCTGGACAGTCAAAGAAGAGAAAATTCTTAAGTAAATTCCAGAAACTCCATCCGGAGTATATCGGAAAAAAAATTGGTAATTTTCTGGTTAAGTTACTCACAATCATCGCAAAAGTCAAATTGCTCACGTAGATTCAGGTCCACAAATTATTTTTCTTGGGGGCGTTTTTCTGGCAATTTTCTACACACTGTTAATCTTCACAAAATTCTCATAAGTAAACGACCCACATTGAATCTAGATTAGTTCTTCCCGTTTCTGTCGACTGGCGCTTTTGAAGCAGGAGTCGGGGCCTGGAGTTTTTCCGAATCGAAATTCGTATTTTTACTAGTGCTTTTCCCCGACAACGAATCAGCAAGGTGACTTTTACACGTTAGCGCTTTATATTTGCCAGTTTTGAAACGTTTAAGATAGTTTACATACACTTATACTGGATAATGAGGTCGGCAACAATGTTTTTCAAGGTAATCTGCCTCATTAACATTACGCAATTGAAATTTGGAATTCTTCTTCCCATTTCAATTGTCTTACAAAGATGTCTTTATCACAACGTTTCGGTTTTAGTAGTCCCTTCAATAATTTTCAGGTGAACGTTTCGCTCGAAAGCCCGCTTTTAGAACGCAATTTTAGTTACATTTGTAACTGAGAAATTGGGGTTGGGAGGACCTGCACTTTGGCTTTTTGCTTTAATTTCCTCCAATCTTGTAATTTGCGCAACCAAACAAACTCAAATCGACACGTAAAGCGTCAAGGCCTCGTGCGCTGGCCAAATGTGCATTCGGGCACCAGGTGAATAATGAGCTCAGGAGATTAGGAGCGAAAATCTTGCGTTTTTAATGGATTTTGCGTTTTTTCGCGCACCGGTAGCAAGTGTGGAACTTTTACAGTCTGGAAGTCTATAGAGTTTCATTCAACTGCGCTCCCTGCTTCAAAAGTTCCAATGAAATTCTAAGTGAGTCCTTATAACCCCCTAAAAAGAAAGGCGCCAATTTTGAACCCCCTGTAGACTAGTTTTGGAGGAATGGAAAAAAAGCGTTGGCAAGAAAATCGGTCGGTTTTTACGCACTTTATCTCATCCAAACTGGCCTGAGGGTTCGTCCTCAGGATCCTCAAATCTATCAGTCCAACATTCTGAACAGACTTGTTGACATGCGTTCCTCCTGTTCCAGTCAGTTCTTGGCGGGCTCATCTCCCGAGATTTGAGCGTCAGTTGTTTCCCGTTCTCTATTGGCGCATCAATTGGGCACTGGCTCTATTTTTTTGGGGAAAACACGCTTTCATGACGACGCGCAAAGTTCGGTGAAAATTGATTGCCGTCTCGAAGAGTTTCTGCGGATGAAAATGGCCCAATGAGTGAAATGTTTGCGTGGAGAATGCAAAAAATCTGTAGTGGGTATGTTTGGCTAACTTTTTGGATTTTTGGTGAGTTTTACATAAGTTAAATAAAACTTTAAACACTCGCAAGTGCGCTCTAGACAAAATTACACTTAAATTAGCTTGTTTTTGAGTTTAATCAATTCCCTCCCAGCGTATTGCTGATTCCCCCAGCCGAAAATTCAATTCCCCCGGTTGTTTGATATTCGAACGGCAAACGGGACCAAAAGAAAATAAAACTTTAGAACTCTCCAGGATTAACATTCTGTTGACGCTCATGCAAGCATGCTGGCTTTTTTCGCCAGTGGCTTGTTGTCGGATTTTCTACCTTTTCCATGTTAAATGCGGCCCTAAATAACTGCCATACACACAATTTCTATTGTACACAACACCCTTTTTCAGCCAGTGCGCCTACAATCCAATAATAAAGCCGCTGGGATTTGACTTGCTTAAAAGCATTTTTTGGCTCCCTTTTCGAAATTCTAGTTATGCTTGAATTTCTAGATTGCTTCTGTTCTGCTATCCTTTATGTCTATCATTTGGCAAATAGTTGATCATTTTCAGCCGCAGAATTTTGAGCGGTTTTTCATGAATGCCTGATGCGATGCGATATTGCTCGCTAGAGCGTTCTCCATTTGTCTTTATGTATGAAAACCTTGGATACCTAGATACAATTGCGTGCGCTCATTTTATCCGGGTACATTCCCGCTGTTGTGATATATGAGTGGAATTCGCGTGTAGCTCGTCCCCAATTAAAACGAGAGAATCGCTAATTAAGCCAACATTTTCCTTAGGATCGTTATCTGATTTGGGTCCAGGCAAATTTCTAGCGGTAAATTAATGTTCAAAATTCCGAATTGTTAGCGTTATCATATGGACAAGTTAAGGTCCAATGAGCAATAATTCGATTGGCAGAAATTTACAAAGTGAATGAAATTTAATTAACAGTGTTTATTGAGCCGAGTCTCCTTTACGCGTTACTCGAATTTGTTTGCCGGTGCCTTGGCTGGCTGCGAAGAAATCAACGTTGAAAGCTTCAGGTGCAAAAATGGCGGAAAAGGGGAGAATTCATCAAGTTCAAAAAATTATATTAAAAATAGTAACTAAGCGAATGCAGCTTGATTACAACCGTCAGCTACGGGAAGCCTACTTTACAAACATATGAAATCCGATTCCCGATTTAGGGCCTACTTCCGAAAAAATCTGTTTTGAAAGCTTCAAGTGCAGAAACGGTAGGAAATTAGTATAGGCGCCAACGATTAAAAAATTGTAGTGCAGAAAGTTACCGAAAAAATGTAAATTACCTAAATGTGTAAGTGTAAAAAACCCAATTTAGAGTGTGTGTTCAGGAAAGCCTACTTAATAAATTTCTGAATTTTGCTTGTCGATAAAAATGTCGACTAATGAAGCAATCAACTTTAATAGTTCAAGGTGCAGAAACAGAAAAATTCAGTCAAAGCATCAAAATTAAAAAATTCGCAATAAAGAAATTACATGAAAGAATACAACCTAATTAAAACTGTGATTCGGAAAAGTACGTTGTACACGTTTATGGAACTCTTTTGCCGATATCTGGCTCGCTTATGACGAAATCAGCGTTGAAAGCTTAAGCTGCAAAAATGGCAGAAAATCAGTCAAACTGTTAAAGTTAAAAAAAATGGTGTGCGTCACGGGACGCTCGACAAAATTAATAACTTCATATATCTATAGAAACCATAAAATATCGAACTTGTTTATTATTTTATAATTTTAATATTATTCTTGGTTTAATAATTTATAAATAGGTCAGGAATAGGTAAAATGTAATTTAATTTCCTTTTGAATGTAAAATATCTTTTTTATTTGCAACATTTAATATTCTTCAACGAGAGGTTGAAGAATATTAAATGTTGCAAATTCTTCTTCTTGTCTGCACTCTTCTTCTTCTTGAGTTTCTGTATTTTCTGTATACATACATAGTGTAAGCCATCGCGCGTAGATTAAAAAAATATTCTAACTGAACTAATTCAAGACTAAAAAATTTAAACTAAATTCAGAAGGTTTAATCATAAAGGAATCAAAGAGTATATGAAGGGAAAACAATTAATTTTGATGCGTGGTAAACACAATTAATCATTGAAAATAAGCCCTAAAAAATTCGTTTTACATATTTTGCAACTATAAGCTGAAGAGAGATTCGCATCGTCTTAACATCAAGAATGCGTTGCGTGATAGAAAATAAGTAGACGGAACCCATGTTTTCTGAAATAACCGAGGTAAACTCAAATATTTTTTCAATTAAATTAAAAACATATTTATTATATTGTACCGTGCATGGCCGAGTATCAAACTCTTTCTTCAACTTCCAACTTTTATTCCACTCGGTATAACTTTAACTACGGAACAGGAACAAACTAACTTCAAAATTACCGTCAACTTCACAAACAATAACAATAACAGGCGGAAAACTCGCTCTTCCGACTCACGGGGTTCAACCTCTTCTGCACCCGGCCGCTCCTGTCACTTCACTCTCCTGTCTTTTTTTTTTGTTTGCCCGGCGGCGGCTGGAGGATAAAAATCTTCTCGAAGACACCCAGTGTCCCGTGACACTGGGTAGTGTTGGATTTCTACCAACTAAAAAACCCCCGTTTTTGACTTCAGGTTTTCGGGAGTTGTCCTTTGAAACTTGCGGTCTTCTGTAAGAATGGTTCAGCTCTGGCATCCGTATGCCTTTACATCACATTCTCTCCATACTGGCTATCTGCTAGTATGGGCATCTTACTAATTTAACACAAGCACTACACA